AGTCCAGAGGCCCTGGCCCAGGGTGTTGTGGCTGTGCCTTCCACAGCTGTGTTCCCGGAGGTGTGGTAGGGCGCGTGCATGGCACCTGTGAGTCCAGAGGCCCTGGCCCAGGGTGTTGTGGCTGTGCCTTCCACAGCTGTGTTCTCGGAGGTGTGGTAGGGCGCGTGCTGTGGCATAGTAGCTTCAGCTGCTGCTGAGGACACCCACATCTCGGGTTTGAGTTCCAGCTGCTCTGCTTCTGATCCAATTCCTTGCTCAAGTCTCTGGGAGGCCAGCTGAGGATGGCAACCGGAGTCCTTGGATCTCCGCCACCCGTTTGTGAGACCAAGCTGGACTTGGTGGCTCCTGTCCTCAGCCTGGCCCAACCCTGGCTGTTGTAGCCATTTGCAGAGTGAACCAACAGGTGGAAGATCTTTCTGTTCCTCTCCTGTGTTTCAAATAAATATATTTAAAAGTAGGTATACGTGCAAATAAAAAGCAGGAGAAGAAATGCAGGGCTCAGTGCTTTCGTTTGGCCAGGGCTGTGCTGCTGCGAGGGCCTGCATGGCTGTTGGACGGCGGCTACTGCGTGGGCACATTAGAGCAAATGCTTGTTTTTAAGCTGTGGTCATTGCCATTTTTGTGCCAAGTAACTTTTTAAGTTTTTAAAATACATTTATTTTTATTGGAGAGGCAGATTTATAGAGAGGAAAGACAGAGACAAAGATCTTACATCCGCTGGTTCACTCCCCAAGTGGCCACAATGACCAGAGCTGAGCCGATCCAAAACTAGGAGCCAGGAGCCTCCTCCGGGTCTCCCACATGGGTGTTGGGTCTCAAGGCTTTGTTCCATCCTCGACTGCTTTCCCAGGCCACAAGCAGGGAGCTGGATGGGAAGTGGAGCTGCTGGGATTAGAACCGGCACCTGTATGGGATCCTGGCATATTCAAGGTGAGGACCTTAACCATTACACTATTACGCCGGGCCCCAAAATATTTTTAAAATAAAGGTTTAGTTGTTTTACTTTAAAAAGTTTCAGAGGAGAGAGAGGGAGAGAGAGCTCTTCCATCCACTGGTTCACTTCCCAAGTGGCTGTAATGGCCAGAGCTGGACCTGGCAGGAGCTTCTTCCGCGTCCCCCATGTGGGTGCAGGTTCGCAAGGCATTAAGCCATCATCTACTACTTTAGCAGGGAGCTGGGTGGGAAGTGGAACAGCCAGGATTAGAGCAGGCACCCATGTTGGGATCCTGGTGCCACAGGCAGAGGGTTAGCTTACTACACCGCCAGGCTGGTCCCATGCATTGGAGTTTTCATGTCTCTTCAGAGGGTGTCACAGAATCCAAGCTGGCACCCTTTGGCTGTCCGCCTTGTTCCAGACATGTCAGGCAGCACCAAGGAAGGCAGCTCCCTGCTGCACTTTGAGGCTGTTGGATGGAGCACCAGGAAGCTGCAGGTACTGCGGCTGTGTGTTTCGTCCAAGGTCGTGCGAAAGCGAGCGGGGAGAGGATTTGAAAGGGGCCAGTGTTCGTGTGCTCCTGGGAAGGGGGATGGCTTCAGCATAGGGCTGCATGACCCGGGAGGGAAGGACGTTCTCGGGGGAGGGTCAGTTGCTTCATAGCACGGGGATCTGACAGAGCGGGGGACTGTAGCTTGCAGCATGTGACCCTAGACTGGCCACCACCTGTCCCATTTCGTCCCCCTCGGATTTCTGACCCTTAATCTGAGGTTTACCATTGTCTTTAAAAAGATTTTCCATGGTTGTGTAATCCTGCTGTTGAGATGAAAGCAGCTTCTTATGCTGGACATTTTAGGTTATTTCCACTTTTTTTTTTTGCTAATGTAGATGAATTTGTCATTTAGAATTTCATTTTTCATTGCTCATCTGTGTAATTAGTTCTTGCAAATAGCTCTCAGGAATCAAAGTCTGGGGCTCCAGGGCCGCTCATGCCATTTGAGAGTCTCCTTGGCTGCTCCCGAGTTTATGTTTTGGGCTTTGGGTGGGAGGGTGGGAGATGCCTTTGTTGGACAGCAGGTGCTGTGCCTTCAGCGCTTGCAGGCGTCTGGGTCCTGGGGACCCCCTCCCTGGGCAGCCTTCTGGGTGTCACTTCCCTTCAAGGAGCAGGGGAAAACTGCCCTGCTGAGCTAGAGCCTTTCCCTCGCTGTCTGTGGGCACTTGCTTCCGGTGTGTGTGCCCTCGGAACAGCCGGCACCCACTGGCCTCTGGGCTCCAGCGCTGCGGGATGGTGCTGTCACGCGTGCCGTCTCCACCCCGGGGGACACGCTGGGAACTTTACGTGATGTGCACCCTCCTCGTTTTCTTGTTCCTGCTTGGCAATCTGTGTCCCTCCCTGTCTACTGATGCCATTATGGTCACACTGTAGTCTGGTGGCTCAAAGGACAAGGCACTGTGCTGGGTCACGGAGGGGCTGGGGGGTGCTGTGGCCAGGCCGTCGCCCCTGGGCTCCCTCCGTCAGAGGCTTGCTGGGTCCACAACCCCCACCCTGGGCTGTTTCCCCTTTAGTTATTTGGCCTCACTGGATGTAAAACTTGCTTTTCTTGGTTCCTCTTGTTCAAAGAAAAGCTGACGTAGCCAACAGAACAAACGGAGTTTACTACATTCTAGGGCAGAAGTAAGAAGCACCTGTCAGGGACCTAAGAGGTGTGCTGTTTCCCTAAGAGGTGTGGGTTTGCATGGCAGCTTTCTGGCTAGCCTGGCAGCTTTGGCTGGCTCTGTGAGGCACAGCCCTGCTTCCTGCCTCTCCCCTCCACCCCTGTTTATTCTGTCCATAAAACTGAATTTGAGAGTCATGCTTGGCTCTGTTGACAGGCTGCGTTCTTACCACAAGCAGGGAAATTGTACTTTGCCCCGGTTCGTACAGATGCCGCAACACGTCCAGGGTGCTGTTGCCCAGACAACCAGCCAGCCTGTTGCTGCGTGTGGCGAGGGCCCTGGCAGGGGCCTGCTGGAAACCCCACATCAGCCTGGCTTCTCAGCTGAGGAGAGCGGCCATCGCCAAGGCCCAGGGGCAGCACGCACTCAACCTCCCCTGGCCTTCCCAGCCTTCCTCTTTCCTTCCCTGGAGATGTCCCTGCTTGGGAGAAAGGCACAGTATGGAATGGATGGATTTATTCCGAGACTGGGCTTTGGGAACTGGCCGTGAGGCCTGGGCTTGGCAGCCCCCTAGTGCGGCTCTCTGTCACGCTCTTCCTCCAGGTTTCTCCTCACACCTGGGGCTGCTTGCTGGAGGCCAGAGCTGGGCCGCACCGGAGTCGCGCAGAGCCAGAGCCCAGTAACTTAGCACTTTCTGATGGGGAAAGTGAGGTGGTTGGATAACAGGGAGACAGTGTGGAGGCTGCCCTGCTGTTTCAGTCAGATGTTCTCTGTTCCTTTGGGGCCCCCTTGCTGTGGCATGGGTGGCCTGGGGCTGCCGCGTGGGGCTGGCTGCGGCATTGCTTCTTCTGCTGCTAGGAACAGTGCCTTGCTTGGACTCGTGTGTGCTCGTTTCCAGAAGTGCTGTATACCTGTGCTTCTCTGCTGCTTGTACCACGAACGTCCAGTTCATGGAACACAGAAACGCTGTGAGAGAACATGCCCTGTCAGCAAGAAGTAAAGGGGCGGCTTAGTGGAGGCTGCTCCTGAAACCCCGTCCCCCACAGACTGTGTCGGCTGAGCACTCGGCAGAGGTGGGGACCAGCTCGCAGCCTCCCTCGCTGGATGGAGCGCTGTCAGAGCCTGCACCCCATGCCCCTGTTAAGGAGGGCCTGATGTTGGGGCCCTGACCTGGGAGCCAGGTACTTTCCCCTTAGGAGGGCTTCCCTCGGAGCACAGGCAAGGGGCAAGGGGCAAGGGCCCCCTACTCCCACGTGAGCCCTGGCTGAGACGCTCAGTGGCAGCCGGCCTGCCGGGGCTCGAACCCAGCCCTGTAGCTCATGAGACCTCCGTCACCTTCCGGGCATGATAATGGCAGGGTTGCAGTGCAGATTGGCTGTGTGGGATGTATTCGGAGCTTGACCCAGAGCTGGCTCGAGGAGCTCCGTGCACACGCAGCCTCACAACCCCTCGGCTACCTGCCGTGACCCCACAGTCCCACACATGGGCTTAGAGAAGCTGGCGAGTTCTCAGGCGTTGGTGGTGCCCACACAGGGCGTTAGGGAGAGACTGCACAGGGACGGCTATGACCAGCAGGCATCATTTATACACACACTTGAAAACATGTTTGTTCGCTTTATTTAAAAGGCAAAGCAAGACAGACAGGGAAAGCTCCCATCCTCTAGTTCAGTCTCCGCTGCCTGCGACAGCCAGGGCGGGGCCAGGCCAAAGCCAGGGGCATGCAGCTCCAGCTGGGGCTCCTGTGTGGGTGGTAGGGACCCAGCTTCTTGGGTACCTGGTGCCGTCTAGGGGCTGCATTAGTAGGAAGCCGGCCCTGGGGGGGGGGGGGAGCCAGGACTTTGGCCCCTGGACCGCACCATGGACCGCAGGGTGGAGCATCTGTCCGGCCCACCCTCACCAGTGTCTCCTGAGTGCCTTCAGGGTGCCAGAGGCTTTTGAATAAATTCCTGGAATTGTTTCACCTTGTTCCCTCTTCCCTCACCCCTGTCCCTAGGCTCTGGGGTTTTGTTTGCAAAGTCTATTCCCAAATCAGCCAGGCTTAAAGCTGGAGTCCTACCCCTGGCCAGTCCAGAGAGCTCTTGATGACTGGCCAGCCCTGGCCAGCATCTTTTCCAGCAGACTTCTGCTGATCAGGGCTGGCTCAGTGAGTTCCTGGCATTGGTGTTATATATAGCAAAGTCAGATATACAGAGAGGAGGAGAGATGAAGAGGAAGATCCTCCATCCAGTGATTCACTCGCCAAGTGACCGCAACTGTGCTGATCCGAAGCCAGGAGGCCGGAGCCTCTTCCCGGTCTCCCACAAGGGTGCAGGGTCCCAAGGCTTTGGGCCGTCCTCGACTGCTTTCCCAGGCCACAGGCAGGGAGCTGGATGGGAAGTGGGGCCACCGGGATTAGAACCAGCGCCCATATGGGATCCTGGTGTGTGCAAAGCAAGGACTTTAACTGCTAGGCTACGGCACCAGGCCCTGTTAGTGTTTGGTGTGTGGGTAAGACTCAGCAGTTTTTTTGCTCTGCCTTTGGTCTCATGTCTCCTCCAGGAAGTTGTGAATAACAGTCTCTCCCAGAAATAGATGCAAGCACTTTTGCATACATTACAAATCTCCATTCATTTATTCAACAAACATTTGAATATGTGCCAGGCACTGGGGTCACGTCAGGAAGGAAAGGATCTCACAGCCTGGCTTGGGAGGCCGGTGTGGGCCAGCACGGAGGCGGGCAGCCTCAGTGGGCCGGAGTGTCTCTGCGTCATCACACCCCGACCACAGGTTCCTTCCAGTCTCTTCCTGAGTCGTTCTAACTTCACGTGATTATCATGACAGTTTTCAGATGTGTTTGTCAGTTGAGGCCTGCGTTGTGCCAGGCACCCTGCTTCTCACCGGGTTCTGCTGGTCCTCAGGCAGCTTGGTTTTGCAGGTGAGAAGGCGGGGCTTCCAGGCCTGAAGGCAGGCCTCGGGGCTGGGGAGTGCAATGTGTGAATTTGATCAGCGTGTGCTGGGGGCTGAAGGAAGCCTGGTGAGGCAGGCCCAGGGATACCATCAGAAGGACCACGGGAAGTGGGGTGTTGTCATGTCGGCTGTCGTGGGTGTGTTTTGGTGATGGACAGGGAGTGTTCACTGCTTGTCATGTCAGGTTGCCTGGCGCATGGAGGGAAGCATGGTGGCAGTGTACTCCGAGGCTGTACGTGGAGTCCGCTACAGGTACGCATTTCCTGTTGGCAGATCTGTGTGGTCCCCCCTCAGTCCCTGAGGCCACCTGGCCAGGGGCACCTGCAGTGCAAGTGACTGGGCTCTTGGTGGAGGGGTTTTGAGCACACTGGGTTTTCTGTACCAGATAGTTGCTTTCTGGTGATGTTGAAGGAAAGTTTTCACTGCGCAGAGCAGCTTGCTGAGAAGTGGCCTTCTCTGCTGTGGAGGAGGAATGAGTCAGTGTCTGTAGTGTGGCTCCGGCCTCTCCCGCGAATCCTTCTGCTGCCTGGCAGTCGGCAAGCTGCCACCCTCTGGCACCTGCAGCTGCCAGCTCTGTAAATATTTGCATTGAAGAACTGCATAGCTACCTTTTTCCAAGGCTTGCCATACTTCGGCCAGAGCCAGGGCTGTCCCTTGGGAGTTCCTTGGAAGCTGACCCATCACCGGAAGTAGCTCTCAATGATCAGCTCACGTTACGGATAGACAGTTGGACTGTGATGTGCTTGCTGCTAATCAGACATGATAGTGTGCCCACCTGGCAGCTGGGGTCTGCAGCAAGCTCCAAGGATGGGCTTGGGGTGCGGCAGCATGTGTAGGTTTCACATGGGACCCCCTCACTGTCACTGCCCACGGAGTAAGGAAGATGAGGCCAAGGGATGGTGCCTTCCTTTCCTTTCTAGACTGCATGTACACACAGGCTCTGGAATTCCCTGTCCTGGCGGATTCACACAGTCTTTTTCCTGGGTGACTCCTGCTGAGACTGGACACTGCCACACTGTGCACGTGCCTGGGGCTGAGGGAGACCGGGTAGTGTCCCTGTGCAGTGTGTATGTGCGTGCAGCTGGGCTGTGCTCCGTGGTACAGGTCAGGGCTCTGAAATTTTTTTTTTAATTTATTTTTTATTTTCACAAAGTCAGATATACAGAGAGGAGAAGAGACAGAGAGGAAGATCTTCCATCTGATGATTCACTCCCCAAGTGACCGCAATGCTGATCCGAAGCCAGGATCCAGGAACCTCCTCTAGGTCTCACACATGGGTGCAGGGTCCCAAGGCTTTGGGCCGTCCTTGACTGCCTTTCCAGGCCACAAGCAGGGAGCTGGATGGGAAGTGGAGCTGCTGGGATTAGAACCAGGGCCCATATCGGATCCTGGCGCGCTCAAGGCGAGGACTTTACCCGCTAGGCCACCACGCTGGGCCCAGGGCTCTGAATTTCTGTGTTTGCTTGCTTTCCCTGTTCTTTCCTCCCTTCCTGTGTTCTTTACTGTATTTCTTAATTGAAAGGCAGGGAGCAATCTTCCATCTTCTGATTCATGCCCCAAGTGACTGCAGTGGCTGGAGCTGGACCAGGTTGACGCCAGGACCAGTATCTGGTTCTGTGTGGGTGCTGCAGCTTTCTCATGAGCGTTAATGGGAGATGGACCCAAAGTGTTGCAGCCAGGACCTGGATTGGCACTTAGATGACCTGCTGTCATTTTAGGTGGCGGCTTTGCCCCCACACCACAGCACCAGCCCCTGTGCGCTTCTCTCTTCAAAGGATTGGTCCACATGGGTTACTTGGCATGCTTGGCCATGTCCCTCCCTGTCTGACAGAGGGCTCAGGCTGGTCTAGAGGCCCCAGTGTCTGGAGAGGCGGGTTGGAGATGAGGCCTGCCCCAGCACAGTTAATCTTACCAGTGAAGCAGTCGTGGGAGCAGGACCACCAGTCGCTGGGCCTTCCGGGCCCGGTGATACCATCCAGGGCTTTTCATTCTGGCGCAGCAGCTGTGGAGTGAGTCCCGCTTGCACTGTGGTCTGGAGAACTCGGCTTTTATTCCTGCTATAGCTCAGCAGACTTATCCTGGAAGAATCTTCATGTTAACTGAGCCTGACTTACAGTGAAACACAGGTGAGCGGCAGCCCGGGAACCTCTTGGGTGTGATGTGGTGCATTCTGTTCCCCGGTCCCCTGGTGCACGGCGCTGCACGTGGAGTGGGAGACACTGCCAGGCTGAAGGTTGGCTGCCCTGAGGACAGTGTAGTCTTCGCCGTCCACACTGCTTAGTGTGATCTTGGCGTGTCTACCTGTCCTTGGGAAGACCTCTCTCCCTGTAAAATTGTGACTGTTGTGTTCATGTCTCTTAGTTCTAAAATGTCTTTTTTAGTGTTGGTGATAAAAGCTTTTTGTAAAAGAAAAGAACAGATGTGTGTATATGTGAAAGGCAGACGCAGAGCTCTGTCTTGGCTCACCCTCAGCTGCTCGCACAGCGGGCGAGTGCTCAGAAGGGTGCGAGGAGTCCTGTTTCTTGGCCGTTATTTTCTGCCTACCAAGGTGTGCCTTAGCAGGAAGCTGCATTCTGGAATGGACACTCCGCCTCCCCCGTATCCTGAGCAGTGCTGTAACCACTGTGCCAAACACCTGCTCTTGAGTGGTATTTTTTCATAAATGTTCTTTTTTTTTAAAAGATTTATTTTTATTAATTTTTTTTATTGGAAAGGCAGATATACAGAGAGGAGAGACAGAGAGGAAGATCTTCCGTCCGATGATTCATTCCCTAAGTGAGCGCAACGGCCGATGCTATGCCAATCCGAAGCCAGGAGCCTCTTCCGGATCTCCCACGCAGGTGCAGGGTCCCAAAGCTTTGGGCCGTCCTCGACTGCTTTCCCGGGCCACAGGCAGGGAGCTGGAAGGGAAGCGGGGCTGCCGGGATTAGAACCGGCGCCCATATGGGATCCCGGGCGTGCAAGGCGAGGACCTTAACCACTGCACCACCGCGCTGGGCCCCATGAATATTCTTACTTGGCAAAATAGAAAGCTATTCGCCTTGGGTTGTTTTTCTCCCCATAAACCTCTAGCAGTTTTACCGAGTCACAGTGAAGAGAGTGAACTGCTTGTGGGTAAAGTGAACAGCTTGGCAGTGTCCTTGTGGCACAGTGGGTGGTGACATCCCATATTGTGACTTTGGTGTCCCATTTCAGAGTGCCACTCTGCTCCAGCGTCTGGCCTGACTCCAGCCTTGGCTGTGGTGGGCGTTGGGGGAGGAATCAGCAGATCGAAGATTGATCCCTCCCCCCCTGCCACCCTCCATCACCCCCATCTCCCTCTCTCTGACGTCTGCCCTTTAAATATATATGTATTTTTAAAGTACAGTTTGGTAAGTTTTGGCAGTATGTGTGTGCTGTTGACCCATTACCATAGACAAGCCTGTGAGCACAGCGCTGGCACCCATGGGTCTCCTGCTGCTCCACAGTCCCTTTGCCTGCTCCACCTGCCACAGGCAACCACTGCATTGCTCTGTGCTCTGTACCTTCTAGAATGCTGTGTGAATGAAACCACACACTGGATACTCTGCACTGGCTTCTTTTATCTTACAGCGTTATTATTATTAGTTATATTTATTTCCTTGTTTGAAAGGCAGAGTTGCAGAGTGAGGGAGGAAGAGACAGATCTTCCAAGTGCTGGTTCACTCCTCAAATGACCAGGAACTCCATCTCGGTCTCCCACAGGGTGGGATGGGTCAGGAGCTTCTGCCGGCTTCTGCTGCTTTCGAGGCTCAGCAGCAAGGAGTTGGGTTGGAAGCAGAGCAGCCAGGACTCGGGTTGGTGCCTGAATGGAAGGTGGGATGGGTCAGGAGCTTCTGCCGGCTTCTGCTGCTTTCGAGGCGCAGCAGCAGGGAGCTGGGTTGGAAGCAGAACAGCCAGGACTCGAATTGGTGACTGAAGGGAAGGCTGGTGTGCAGGTGATGGCTTAACCTGCTTCCCCATGGGCTCGCTGCTGTTTGTTTTCTTGATGGGGTGATGGAGAGAAGAGAGAGGAACGAGCAGGTCACATCCTCCAGCTGTTGGTTTGCTTCTTAAATGCTGGCAGCGGGCAGATGTGGGCTGGGAAGCCGGAGGCACTCTGATGTAGGGTAGGACGCAGGTGTCCTAACCCTAGTCCTGAACTACAGACTTGAGGAAGTCCTGTTTTTTTAGTTTGTAGTTTAAAAAAAAAAAAAAAAAGCATTGGTTTGGTTTTGGCTGGACTCACAGCTAAAATCTTTACTTAATCCAAGGCCACAAATGTTTTCTCAATTTCTTCCAGACATTTTATAGTTTTAGGTTTTATGCTTAGGTCTATAATCAGTTAGGAGCTACTCCTTGTATATGGTATAAAGTGTGAGTTGTGGTTGTTTTTCACCCGTGACTCTGCACCTTTGTCGGAACTCTCCCACATTTGAAGGACATTTTCTGAGCATGGGCTCTGTAGTCCAGGAGTGATGGCTTCGTCCCCAGCCCTCTTTCCTTTCCCCTTGCCTTCCTGGGCCTGGCTTTCTGTTCGCTTCTCCTGGAAGTCCTCAGCCACTTGACGGGGGTTGTGGGCAGTGGCGAGAAAGGGCCCAGCTGGTGCCCGCTGAAATGGCTCTCTGGACCACACAGGGCCTTGGACACAGAGGCTTAATGAGTTCCTTGTTGGTAACTCCTGGGCAGTGTTTCATCTTGGGAGGTGGCTGTGGAGCGCCAGGACAGACTGGCCAAGAAGGGACAATAAGCCTTCTGTGCCTGGGTGGGCGGGGTGCGGGCCGTGGCAGAGGAAGGAGGGAGGGGCTGTTCCTGGTCCCGCAAGGGCTGTCGCTGTGTCACCTCTTTGGTGTGCTGTCTGAGCCTGTGTGTGGTGTACTGTGTGTTAATGGACATTCACAGAGCAGCTTGGGGCAATCCTTGTGCGCATTCTGCTCGTGGCCGCCGCTGCACACAGCTCAGTGTATCTGCATTTGGACCGGTGGACACTGGGCTTTGATTTGAGTACTGTAGATCCTGCTGTACTAGAGTCAGCACTCTAAGTACTACGTGTGCTAATACAATAATACTAGCACTGAGTACTCTGGGTCCTGCTCTACTGGAGCTGGCGTTGTGAGTAGTTGCATGGACTAAACCATGGAATTTTCCCTCTGTTTCCAGCACCTGATCTGTGTCTCCTGTTTAGTTCCCATCAACCCTGTGAGGTGTCTGCAGCCTTTTTCGGATCAGGAAATTGAGGCGCAGAGAAAGCAACCTTGTATAGGAAGTCTTTGGATCGTGTTTTCCATTGTTCAAGCGTAGAATCCATTGCACGTTTACCCTCAACCTTTGAACCGGATCTGAGGGATGGTTTACGTGGCTGTTTTCTGAGGCCTGGTGAGTTCCCTGCCAGGGGAGGGAATTGAAATTCCCAAGTAGTTCCCTGTCTATGCCTGTTTTGGTTGGCTGCCCTTCTGGGATCTGCCCACTTTCCACAAACATGGCTGCCTCTGCTGCAGCTACTCACCCTTGGGCTTGTCTGCTGAGCTCCTGTGCAAACTTCAGTGTTCAGGGGATGCTGCCTCTGGGCCTGTGGAGTGTAGGCCTCTGTCCCTGTCCGCTCTACCCGACCCCAGGGTACGGACTGCCTTGCTCCCCTTCCCCTGCAGGGCTGGGAGCTGGCCAGGAGGGTGGCAGGTGCCTCCTTTCCCGTCTGGAGCCACGGTTCTCAGGTCATGCTGGTGAGAACCTTTCAGTGCTGCTGTGAGCCATGTTCCTGAGGAGGGGTACCAGTCCTTAGCCGAGTCTGCCGGCGTGGGGCCCTCTGTCACTGCAGGGGCCTGCGGCTGCCATCCAGCAGGAAGCAGCAGGGATTAACCGCAGCAAGTCGGCACGTTTAAAAAGCATCCCTCAGCACTTTGTCCAAACCCTGAATGGCTTGCCTAGCTTACTTTTTCTCTTTTGGAGAAAAATAAGTCTTCTGCTGTGTTCAGAAATATGCTGATCTTTAACCATATTTCAGATTATGGATGAGTTTCTATATTTCCCAAATATGTGTGATGCAACTGTAGTTTTTATGATAAACTTGAAGAATAGTTTGTTTTTGACAATTTTGTTTTTAAAGATTTATTTATTTTTATTGGAAAGTCAGATTTACAGAGAGGAGAGACAGAAAGATCTTCCATCTGCTGGTCCCCAAGCGGCTGCAATGGCTGGAGGTAAACCAAGGGAAGGGGCCAGGAGCTTCCTCCAGGTCTCCCACATGGGTGCAGGATCCCAAGGCTTTGGGCCACCCTCTGCTGCCTTCCCAGGTCACAGGCAGGGAGCTGGAAGGGAAGTAGAGCATGAATTGGTACCCACGTGGAATCCCAGCAATGCAAAACGAGAACTTTAGCCACTAGGCTACCACGCCGGGCCAAGCACTATTTTTGGTTTGTTTTTGTTTTTATTTTTTAAGATTTATTTTTATTGGAAAGGCAAGTTTACAGAGAGAAGGAGAAACAGAAAGGTTTTCTGTCTGTTTGTTCACTCCCAAGTGGCTGCAACTGCTGGAGCTAAGCTGATCTGAAGCCAGGAGCCTCCTCCAGGCCTCCCACACAGGAGCAGGGTCCCAAGGACTTGGGCCGTGCTCCACTGCTCTCCCAGGCCATTAGGAGGGAGCTGGATGGGAAGTGGGAAATCTGGGATATGAACCAGTACTGATATGGGATCCCAGCATGTGCAGGGTGAGGATTTAGCTACTGGGCCGTCCCACTGTGCCCTTGCCATTGTGGGGGCTGGCCCCACTGTGCCACCAGAATGGTGTCTGGTTAGGTGGAGGCTCGGTGGCATCTGTGAGCTGAGTTGGGTTTAGCATTAAGAGCTGTTGAGCAGCGTTCACTGCCTGTCCTCGTACGCGTGGCTGCAGTTCAAGGAGCAGGCAGACTTTGGAGCAGTGGACCCTGAAGCCGGACTCTGTGGATTGGAACCTTTGAACTAAGGACTGGTTTGCTGCATAATGCATTTTCCCTTTAGTTAGTAGGAGGCAGGATTAATTGCTGTCCCTTCTCTGCAGGGCAGGAAGGGAAAGGAAGTAGAAGGCTGGGTGAGCTTTACTCAGTGGTGCTGCAGTCCTGTTGCTGGCCCCTGCTGGTCTTCTGAGTGTGTCTCCCTCCTGGGGAGCGTCCTTGCCCTGGTTGGCTCTGTAACTGTGAGGGGCTTGGTGATATCCAGGAATGGAAAGTGTCTGGGGACCCTCTGCTGTCTTGTCTCAATGTCTTAAATAGTTTTTATCTGAATGTTCTTGGGAAACAGTGTTTTAACATGTCTCTCCTGGAGGCTGTAAGATACAGTGTGAATGTGCTGCTGTTCTCAGCAGGATGCCGTGGGTGCTTCTGGACTCACAGGAGATGGTCTGAATCAGCAGGAGCAGGGGTGGCCAGTGAGGTCCCTCGGGGGAAGGGGCCTTGGTGGAGTGCTCTGTGACAAGTGAAGCAGTCGCTGTGGAGAGCGGAGTGTGAGCACTCCCCAAGTGGCAGTGCCTCGCGTGTGGCGGCTGCAGGTCTCCCTGCAGCTCCGCAGGGTCCCAGCACTGTGACCTTTGAACAGCTGGAGCAGTGGTGAAGATGTTTGCTCTCAGGTGTCAGTGTGGTGTGCAGCGAGTAAGGCCTGCTGCCGCGGTGCCTACATCCCTTATGGGCACTGGTTTGTGTCCCAGCTGCTGCTCTTCCAGTCCCGCTCCTTGGTAACATTAGACCTGGCAAAAGCAACAGAAGATGACCCAAGTGCTTGGGCTTCTTCCATGCACGTGGGAGACCTGGATGATGCTTCTGGCTTCAGCCTGGCCTAGTGGTAGCTGCTGAGGCCATCTGGGGAGTGAGCTAATGGTTGGAAGATCTCTCTCTTTCTCTCTCCCTCTCTCCCTTTCTGTAACTCTTTCAAGATAAATGCTTACATACATACACAGACACATCTCTCCCCAACGCCCCAAATAATAGCTGGGAAGGGCACGGTGAGAGTTTGAAGCCCGCATGGCTGACCTCGGGTCCTCAGGCGTGCAGAATGTGTCCTGTTGACTAGGGCGGAGGGTCTGGCGGTCACAGTATTACTGCTGGCCCAGCAGGCTCGTGGGAGGAAGCTGAGGGTCTCTGTCTCTGTGTGAGTGCCTGCAATTCACATACAGCATTCACTCACCAAGTTTGGATCCCGAGGACTTTATCTTGGATAGGCAGTGGCTGTCCACAAAGGTTTTCAAGCAGGAAGTTGAAATGAGTCCCTGGGTTTCAGGAAGGATTTTCTGCAATGGATAGGAAGGAATAGAGATTGGACTTAGACAAATGTTGATGCAAAGCTTCTGCTTAGAATGTTCTTTGCCTGGCTGGCTCCTCAAGGCATGGAGCCTCTCTGCTGCGACCACTCAATGGAACGGGCTCCTGTCTGCTGCTGCTTGCTGCTGTGTGTCTGGTCACTGTGTCCCTACCTGGAGCCCAGTGTGCTCACTTCACGCCCCCAGCAGAGGCTGCCTGCTGAGGCCAGGGTCTGTTTGTGTGTCCTCTGCTTTCACAACAGGACCTTGGATAACACGCCGTGTGAATGAGCGGCTGTGTGGGGAGGTGGAGTGGGTGGAGGCCAGGCAGCGGGGAGCCCAGCCGGGTTTTGAGGTATTCAGTTTCATTTGAGCAGATCAATGCTGCCCTTGTTTCATACTTGTGGCTATTTGAGACGGGTGGCTACTGCTGTTTCCTAAATAGCCGGGCCGCTGGCCAGCCACGCTGACCACTTCTGCAGTGAGCGGCTGGCAGCGGCTTTGCTTGGATCACTCTGCCTTTGCAGTTGGGCAACTTCTCCTTTGTCCACTGTCGTTTCCCTCTTTTAGCTCGCCCAGCATCGTGCCTGGTCTTCCCCCTTGTCGAGTGCCTGCTCATTCTGTGTCACTGCCAGGAAACGGTTGCTAGACGGAGACTGCAGAGCAGGAGGACTGTGTGCGCCGGCCCAGGACCCTGAAATGGTCTTGATGGCCTTGCTGTGGCCTCTGCTGGCAGGGGGGCTGAAGCCAGAGGCTGCCGGTGGCTCTGGGGTTGAGTCCCCATATCTGGGGGCAGGCGGGCTCGGAGCACTGGGATCCCTTCCTGAGGAAGGGGTAGGAATGTGGACTCCTGAAATTCCTGGACAGGACCGGGTTGAGGGGTGGGGCACTTCTCAGCTTTCCAGGACTTACTTTCTAAAGTTTATATATTTGAAATTTTCAGCAGAAAGAGAGAGGGAGAAAGCAAGCCACCTGTTGGCTCACACCCCAGATGTCTGTAGCAGCTGGGGCTGGGGCTCGCCAAAGCCACAAGCCTTGAGCTCCACCCACGTCTCCCACAGCGGTGGCAGGATGCACAGCTGAGGTGTGGCTGCTGCCCTGCCGGAGGCTGGCATGGAAGGGAGGCAGGCTAAGAGGTGTCTCAACCACTGTGCCCAATGCCCACCCCATCCGGGACTTCTGTAACCTTACCTCTCCCTTCAGAAGGTGATTGGGTGAAGAGGCTGTGTGCGTGCATGCGCTGTTCTTTCCACATTTGTCAATATTTCAGGACAGCGAGTCTGTCTCAGGGGCTGACGGGCTGGTGGATGGTGCTGGTTAGTGGGTGACCCCGCTGAAGCTGGCGCTGTGTGTGGCTGTGAAGGGAAGTCAGCAGGTGTCTGGGGATGGGGCGCACCAGGAGTGGCCTCTGGGCGTGAGTGCCCTGTCCTGAGAAGTGGGCAGCCCAAAGAGGCGAGGGCCTCTGTTGGTCACGTCACCCTGCACACTTCCTGATTGCAGTATTTGTGGGAAGTAGCCAGCCTTCCTGACCTTTGGTTACAAAACAGAACAAAGCAGCCCTCCTGCTCACATATTCCTCTCCAGGAGTTTATCTGGAGTCAGAAAAACTGAAGCATGGGCCCCGTTTTTGGTTTCCAGCCCCTCCCCCAAGCATCTTTTGGAGCAGTTAGTCAGAACTGCTGCGCTGCCAGCCTCCTGGCTATTGAGGGGTGGGTGTTGTGGATGTGCCAAGGAGAGATCTCTGTCTGCAAGGGGGAGGTTTTCCACCCTTCTCCAGAGTAAACCAGTCTTGGAACAATTCAGCAGGGCTCAGCGTTGCAGCCTCATGGCGCAGGCGAGGTGGAACAGTTTCAGGCCTGCTGTGGTAGAGGGTGGGGTGTCTGCACTGTCAGGTGAGCTGATCTGATTTGGGTCAAGTGCGTGGTGGTCTCCGTCACTGTGCTGCTCTCCCTGGCTGGGTGGTGCTACCGCGCATTTGGCAGTGAGAGGCAGGAGTGGTGAGACTGGCATCAATGTTGGTGTCGCTTCAGGGGAACCTGGGATGTAGAACTTTTCCTCTAGGCTGCACATTAGAGTGCTGAATTATGTAATTTTACTAGTTTGTCCTGGTCTGTATGCAGATTAGGTACTTTTTCTGTTCCCACTGCGTTAGCCAGGAGCTGGAGCTGAGATCGCACCGAGTACTACTCTGACAGGGGACACATACCCTTTCACCTAAGTGCTCCCTGCCACTGCCCCTTTTGAGTGACATCTCAGCTGTCTGCTTGAACTTGTCTGTGCGTGGGCCAGGCAGTGCAGCACATCATTCTTAGTGCCTCCAGATACACGGCCAGACTCTCGCTGAGTCCCCAGGAGCCTTTCCTGGGCTCTGCCTGGGCGGTGGGGGTGAGCTGCCGCAAGGAGCCATCGTCCTGTGGGCGCCAGGAGCCCAGCCTTGCTGTTAACGGAAGGCGTGTGGGCTGCTGGCTGGTCCCCAATGCCAGTGGGCCGCCATGCTTCCTGTGTTGTGTGTAAACAGAGGCTGTTTGCAGTATTTTTGAGTTAGATTTCCCAAAGCGCCAGGTATTGCATTTGTTACCTTCTGTTCCTGCCAAGTGAAACAGAAAGGCATATAAACAGCGGGGTGGCTATGGAGCTCGGGCGCCAGCCCGCAGACGATCCACAGCCTTCTCTGCTTCTCTGGTGTGTGTGCTTCAGAAACTTGGAGCACTCTGTGTGTCACTCAGCAGCTTGGTGTTTTAGTTCCCACGAGCTGAGCTGTCTGGAGAGCAAAGATTTCAGCGCTCAGCCTGGTGCAGCTGCACACTGCGGGAGCGCTGCTCAAGCAGGCGGGCCGTGGTCACTGCTGCAGCCTGCCCGTGGACTTGCCCCGCCCTGGCTGAGGACACCCCTCTGTGTGTTTGCAGCAGCATTAGGTGAGTTTGAGCTGGGCTGACGGGCGAAGCAGTGTTCTGTAGTGCAAGCTGTTTTATTCCCGAGTCCTGTGACCTTGAGCAGCATTTGCCATGTCGGTCATTTGTATTTTTCTAGGAATAAATCCACATCCCTTGTCTTCCCCCTCCACTGGATTTCCTTTTCAAATTTTTAGGAGTTCTTTGCATCTCAGGGTTATAATAATTTATTTTGTGTATTGTAAATATGTCCCTGTAGCTATTATTCTGTAGTTTGTTATTTTGTTTAGGTATACTGAGCCATAAAGTTTTCAGATTTTTATGTAGTCAAGTCTCTTTCCTTCCTTCCTTGACTTACATATTTGATAGGCAGAATTACATAAAGAGAGAGACAGAGATCTTTCTTCCACTGGCTTATTCCTCAAATGGCTGCAACAGCTGGTGCTGGTTCATATTGAAGCCAGGGGTCAGGAACTTGAGCCAGATCTCCCACGGGAGTGACCACACTCCCAGTACTGGGACTATCTTCCCTGGCGTGCATTGGCAGGGAGCTGGACTGGAGGCAGAGCAGGTGGGACTCGAACCAGCACTTACAGGATGCCAGCACTGGCTTAATCACCATGCCATAATGCCGACCCTTCTATTTCTTTCTTTTTTTTTTCTTTTTAAGATTTGTTTTTATTGCAAAGTCAGATATACAGAGAGGAGGAAAGACAGAGAGGAAGATATTCTATCCACTGATTCACCCCCAAGTGGCCGTAACAGCTAGAGCTGAGCCGGTCTGAAGCCAGGAGCCTGGAGCCTCTTCTAGGTCTCCCACATGGGTGCAGGGTCTGAAGGCTTTGGACTGTGCTTGACTGCTTTCCCAGGCCACAAACGGGGAGCTGGATGGGAAACGGGGACACTGGGATTAGAATTGGCACTCATATGGGATCCCAGTGTGTGCAAGGTGAGGAATTTAGCTGCTAGGCTACCACACTGTTCCCCTGTTTTTGTATATAAGTATTTTACTTTCCTACTCCATCTGTACAGAAACTGTGTTTGCGTTCCTGCCTGTGTAGTTTCGTAGCATTTTAAAATAAAAGGAATTTAAATATAGTAGTGCATTAAAGGATTAATTCTCAGGCCCAGGGTAATAGCTTAGTGGCTAAATCCTTGGATCCCATATGGGTGCTGGTTTGTGTCCTGTCTGTTCCAATTCCCATCCTGCTCCCTGCCTGTGGCCTGGGAAAGCAGTTGAGGACTGCCCAAAGCCTTGGGACACTCATGTGGGAGACCCGGAAGAAGCTCCTGGCTCCTGGCTCCGGATCGGTTCAGCTCCACGTTGTGGCCACTTGGGGAATGAACCAGCAGATGGAAGGTCTTTCACTCTATATCTCCTTTCATCTGTATCTCTGGCTTTCTGACAAAAATAAATAAATCATAAAAGAATAATAAAGGCATACATCACTCATTTTATATATATATGTGTGTGTGTGTGTATAAAGATTAATTCTCCGCAGTCAAGCAGAGTTTATTCCAGAAATGCAAGGCATTGTGTTAGTTGGAGAAAGTTCTGGCTTGGCTCCTGGTGGCCCAGCCCTGCCATCTGCTAATTACCTGTGTCTCCCTGAGCCCTGATCTCATGAATCTGCCACTGTATACAGGTCTGAGAGGACAAACAGAATTTTTGTCAAGTGTTTAGAACAAAGCAGGGAGCATAGTAAGTGCTCAGTGTTAAACATAACACTTGACTACATCAAACCGAAGACAGTATTAACTGGTATTTAAAAGGCATATAATTAAAATTCTCCAGCTAATCCTAGTGAGAATCTAAATAAATCACTCACGGGAGGCATTGGTGTAAAAGCAGAATTTGTCAGCAAAGCCCAGCGGCAGGCATGGGAAGTAGCCATCCCATCTCAGTGGCAGGTTGGCCCAGATGTGTTTCCTGGTGGCTAGGGACTTGCTAGGCTTGTGTGTCTGTGGCCTCTGCTGCAGCTGCACCTGGAGCAGGTGACCACCTGTGCCCCGAGGCATGCACTGCCCGTCTGCCCTGCCTGCTGCTCCTGGAGGGGTGACCACCTGCGCCCCGAGGCATGCACTGCCTGTCTGCCTTGCCTGCTGCATTTCCAGTGGCTTCTGGCCTCGCCCTGCCGGAGCCAGGAATGTCTGGGGTTAGGCAGGAAGATTTCTGATGTGGCCCAAGGAGCAGTTTTGTCGCTGGAGGAGTATTGGAGGGCAGGTGTGATGTGCTGCACCTGAAGGGTCAGTTGGTCAGCATGGCAGGGGCTCTCGTCCTGTGCTGTCCTTGGCGAGGCGTCAGCATATGCACCATTTCCTCCTCTGCCCTCCTGTCCCTCTAGCAGGGGAGTGCTGGAGTGCCGATGCGCTCCACCTGAGCAGCGCGGGAGGCCTGCTGGCTGCAGATCAGCGCGGCCTGCCGCCCTCGGCCTGGGAAGCCACGGTGGGTGGAGTGTGCCCTAGCCTTGGCTGTGGGCTGGTGTATGTGGAGCCACCTGCATTCCGTTCCCCATGTTTATGGCGTGCATGTCATTCACATCTAGTTGAGAAATGTTTTATGAGACAAAATTCCTAAGGACAAAAGGTGACAGCTCTATATTTTGAAATGAAATGGTAACGGCCTGGCTGTCAGCCTTCGCACCTGACACCCAAGCTGTCATGCCCAGGGTAGCAGCGTTCCCAGGTGTGCGTCACGTCGTTTCTTGGCCTTTTCTTCTTTGGATGAACACCTGCAGGTTTGTGTATCTGTAACACATTCAGCTTTTGAATGTGACCTTTATGGAGAAGGAGCCATGAGTGTTAGGGTTCTCCAGAGAAGCAGAACCAATAAACAGACGTTTAGGATAGAGAACTAGCTCGTGTGGAAGCAGCGAGGGCTGCAGGTGTCAGGCAGGTCCTGCCCCAACTGTGCAGGCCGAGAATTCCCGCAGACCCTGGTGAGGGCCGCGGCTCAAGCTGCTGTCCTTCCGACCCTTCCGCTGATTGGATGAGGCCCACCTGCAATAGGAAGGGCGGTCTGCTTTACTCTGCTGCTGAAAGCACCCTTGGGCAAACATCCAGAGCATTTGGCCAAGGATGGGGGCCTCATGGCACGTCCACGCCGACAGAAAGCTGTCACGCGCTGTTGACAGCTGATTTTCCTGCAGTGAGTAGATGCGGAGTGACTTCCCATCTGGCCCTCTGAGCACTGTGTTTCTGCCCGCTTCGTGCACAGACATGTTGATTTTGCTGAGGTTTGTCCTCGGGCTCTGGCTCGCTGGGAAGTGTGCACTCCCCGTCGCCTGGGATCGAGTTCCATTGCCCACATGCTCTGCTGTGCTTGTTTTGTCCCCTCTTAGGGGTGCCCGTCTGCCTGGCATGATCCCCTCTGGCTTTCATTCACTGCTC